TAACTATAAGTAAAAGGTTACTAGGAGAAAATAAAAGTATAGCTAAGTAAAGTAAAAATTAGCCTAAGGATAACTAGATTAAAGATTTAATTATTATAGCACTAAAGCTAAAGAATATAGGTAGCCTAAGGGCTAAGTATTTAAAAAGTATAATAAGTAAAAGAAAATAAACTAAAAAGGGAAGCTAAGGGAGCACTAAGGGCAGTAGTAGTAAAGCCTACTTATTACTTACTTATTATTCTCTAAATTACTATTACTAATATTCTTATTATTATTATTATTATTATTATAAGTAAAGGATATAGAAGATATAAGAGTACTACCTTTATTTTTATTAGCCTTAGATTTAAGCTTACTAGTATACTAGAGAGAAGTTAGTAACTAGTATAAGAGGTACTAGAGAGGCACTAGATAAGTATTAGAGGAAAAATACTTATAACCTAGGAGTAAGTCTAGGACTACTTTAAAAAGAGAGTAGTCTAGGCTATAATAGTAGTAGTCTACTCCTAGAGGGTAATAGTCTAGGCCTTAAAGGCTATAGTAGTAACCTTAGTAGTATAAAGTATAGACTTAGCTAGCTTAACCTAGTAGTAAAAAAGTTAGTAGTAGTCTTAAGGGCTATAATATAGCACTAGTAAAGAAGCTACTTTTTCTTCTTAGCCTTAGCCTTATGCTTAGTATTAGGGGCCTTAGCTAGGTTAACTTAGCACTAAAGTGCCTTTTTAGCTATAACCTAGGCCTTATTAATCTTATCTTAGGCTAACGTTAGTATAAAAGGTTACTAGAGGGACACTAGAAGAAGTAAATATATAGTAATACTATAGTAGATATAAGTAGGCTTAGTAAAATAGTTTATAGCCTTAAAGAGGTAGTATAGCTTAATACTAGCTATAGTAGTAGTATAAGTAGCCTATTTAAGGGGTTAGTAGCTACTAAGAGTTATAAGGATAGTAAAAGTAAAAGTAAATATACTAAGATATAAGGCTTACTATATATAGTAGTATAATAAGTATACTTATTACTAGTAGCTAAGATATATTAGCTAAAGTACTAAGAGGAAAACACTAGAGGGGCACTAGGTGTAAAAAGAGGTATATAAGTAGTCTTTATATAGTAAAGAAAAGTAGTAGTATAAGCGCTTAATATACTAGGACACTAGTTAGTTATTTAGTAAATATAGTAGTTATAAAGTATATTATAGATAAGCTTATTTTCTTTAATATAAGTATAAGAGTAGTAAAAAGTAAGTAAAGTAAAAAAAAGTACTAGAGGGCTAGTAGAACTACCTTAGTTAGTAAGACTAGTAGTAGTAAAGCTAATACTAGTAATAGTAGTATTATTAGTAAAAGTATTAGTAAAAGTAAAAAAAGATATAGTAGTAGTAAAAGAGCTAGTACTAATACTAGTACTATTATTATTACTATTACTACTAAGTAGTAGTAGTAATAGTAGTAGTAGTAGTAAAATAAAAAAAATAAAAAATAATAATAAAGTAAGGCTATTAAAAAAAAAAAAAGAAAAAAATTAAAAATAAAAAAATTAAAAGAAAAATAAGGCTAAAAAAGTTATCTAATTAGGCTAAGTAAAAATAATAAAGTAAGTTATAATAGTATCTTAAGCCTATAAAGTAAAAAAAAAATAATAAAAAAAAAAAAAATAAGACTTAAAAGGTTACTAGTATAGCCTACTAAAAAGTAAAATAAAGGCTCTTTTTTATTATAAAAGTAGTATAACTTAAGGCTTAGGCTATAAAAAAATAAAAGTAATAAAAAAAGTAACTATATAATAAAGGCTTACTAAAAGTATATAGTACTTAAAAAGGTATTATAGTTAAAAAAATAAAAAAGTAATAAAAATATTATAAGTAAATAAAGTATTTTTATTATAAAGTAAATAACCTTTAGTAAAGCTAGTTAAGTAATAAAAGCTTATAACCTAGCTAAAAATAACTATAACCTTAAGAAAATAATAGTCTTAGCTTAGTTAAACTATAATAGCTATAAAGGTAAAGTTAAAAGTAATTAGCTAGCTAAAAAGATAGCTAGTTACTTAGTAACCTACTAAGCCTAAAAGTATTCCTAGACACCTCTAAGATACTAGCTAGTAGTAAAGCCCTAGGGGCCTACTAGAGTACTACTTAAGGTCCTAAGGACAGGACCTTAAGGGGGAAGGATTATATTAAGTGCTAAAGGTAAGAGGCACTAGGGGACTACTAGCTATAGGGCTACAACTAGGAAAACTATTATCTAAGGGTTATATAAAAGCAGAGTTTATAAGAACAGGAGAATTAGGAGAAGGTAGATTAGAAAATAGTTATAATTAACCCTTAACTATACTATTTATAGACTCCTTTACTTAGTACTGTAACACCTCTGACATTATGCTGTATGCTTATGTTGAACATCTACTGCAAGGCGACATCGTACGTCAAAGGAACACCGAATCTAGGAACCACCGAGCCGTACCAGGCGGTACTAACGAATAGCTTTAGAAGAGAATTCACCTGATTTTGTCATTGCAAACTACGAGGATACATAGCATGGAAGATGGTTCCATCACGTGACGGACATGCTGTCTGTCACTGGGTATAGATAACAGCTCACCCACCCCACTTGGTTCGGTTCCCAGATATTTCAGCACCACCCAACTCTCATCAACCCATAAGAATGCGCGAAGTTGAGATTTTCCCTCAAACTTATGAGATCATTAACCATGACTCATTGTTCTCCATCAAGGTGACCAGCGAGGGTCTCGGTTCTCTGAGAGACGATCTAACGAAAAGCCAACGCGCGTCTGTGCAAAAAATCGACTTTCAGATCATCCTCCCAGAAGTCGTCCCTAAACGCTTCAAGAAGATCCAGAGCAAGAGCGAGATTATCAAGAACAATGAAGCCTTTACGAAGGCCACTCAAGACTTCTTCAACATCCTGGCTACATGGCCATCTGGCGATGGAGCTGGCATCAAACTCACCATCAGTGCCGCGTCGCCCTCGGACGTGACGATACAAGACATGATGGAAAGTGGCGAGCTCCGGAGCGACCGGCAGTTTCCCGTGTATGAGACGCGCTGGAGAACTCACGCACTCAGCATCGATCGCAAACTGCTGGCGGGCGGGAAACTGCCTGACGTCGCGTGCGTTTCCGAGTTCTCATTTGAGGCGATCCATGGCCGGCCGTTCAGCCCCGACGCTATGTCAGTCGTCACCAGCGCTCTAGTATCAGTGAGGACGATGCTCTGGGAGTTTCTACCACCTCAGGTCCGCGTGACGTACGACCGTCGCTTGGCGTGGCAGTCGGATCTGAAGGCATTCAGGAACGCTTTGGGCGCTGCGCTGACCGACACTCCATTCCCCAAATTGGTCGAGTTTGAAATCGTCACAGATAGCGGCGATCCTTCCAACGAGCTGTTCCAACCTCCGGACATGACGGGTGATGGAGAAGATGCCCTCAGTGTCGGCGTGAGGCGTCTACTTCGGCTGGAAACACTTGAGAAGCTGCACCTGGGATCAAGATGGATCCTAACTTCGGCGGCCTTCGATGCCCCGCTCAACTGTCCGCGTCTCAAAGATCTTCACATTGACTTGTGCGTCACAACTGTCGATGGGAAATGGCTATACACAGGCGACTTTGACAACCTCCCCATCGACGAAGAATACTACGGTTCGGAGGAGGACACTGAACCAGAATTCGACTCGGAAGACTCGGACGCGTCGGACTTTTACCCTGTTGTACGCACAAGAGAGGCCGAGGGCGACATACCGGAGCTGGCGTTCCGCGTGACACCTGACAACCCGGTGTTCGTTCCCTTGATTTCCACCATTGTCAAGGCGGTCCCGGAGATGCCGGGACTGCGAAGAATGCGTGTCATGCTCGGGGGATCAGTGAGGGGAACGATTGCGCCGTTGGATATCAGGTATCTCGCGCCTGGGGAGCTGGAGACGGACGAGTCGATTGAAAACTTCAGCAAGGAAAACCTGGGGCGGCCGCGCTGGTGTCTGATGGGATACCGCGACTTTGATAAATCTTGGAGAGTTCCACAAGAGTTGGAAAAGGCGTTTGCGGGAGAGTCTGGGGAGGGACGTTTTCTTCTGTGGACAAACCCATGATAGAAAACTTGTTAATCAACTTGTTTGAAAAAGATACGAGGCCATACGTGACTGGGCTTATCGGAGAAGGGCTGGATGATTTTAAACTAGAATTTAATTATAACTTGTTCTAGGTCTTGTCTAATATCCTCTGTTGTAAATCTGCCACACATAGAACGTTAGCACTGCTCTTTGTTCTCGTAGAGTTAGGCTTTATTCACCCGTTTTAAAATTGCTTACTTAACCTAAGCCTGCCACGCTTTATCTTAGGTAGACCATGCTTTCTTGCTTAACTCCCTACGATCTGGAAGTAGGCTTTGTAGATAGGCCGCTTGTATCTCCCGAAAGGCCTATCGTCTCGATTCTAAATCCTCTAGGAAGAGCTTAACTTCTTTGTGGGGTATAGAGAACTCCTTGCAAAACATTTTGTATAAGTCATCTTAATCGCTTTTAGGTTCTAGATTATAGATAAAGGCGTTATGAAAATTAGATGGTAATAGCAAGAACAATGCAGGAGCAAGAAGGCTGCCTACAAATGAGTGGTTTTAGGTAGGAAGAAGGGCAAGGCAGAAGAGAGCTCGAGCAAGGGGCAATCAAGCGCAATTAGAAGAGCGATAGAAGACGCAGAAGAGCAGAGGACGGACAGAGTTGGGGAGAGGGAAGAGAAGGCACACAGAGGCCCGGCAGTTGTAATTGCTGTCTATATGGTCTTGGTGGACAACGATGGTCTGATCATCGAAGGATAGGCGAGGTTCGCAACTTTGACATTAATGGCTGTAATACGATTTACACCATCACTTTGCGAATCCTCCCAATCGGAGGCCTGTCAATTCATGCAATGGGCAGTCACGTGGCTAGTGCCAATGCTGTTGCGTTTGCTGCCGGCATGTCACCATCCCCGCAAGAATTGCTCAAGAAACATGTACTAATTCGATTGAGCTCTCGGCCAGGCCGTTCAGCTTCAGCATGCCTTCCGATCCGCAGACACAGTCCACCTTTATCAGCCGTCTACCGCGCGAGGTCCGCGATGCTGTTTACCTCCACTTGTGGCGCTCATGTGGCCTTCGCCAGCATATCCTGTGGCATGGCGCCGCAACAAACAAGCACTTCTGTCGTTGGTCGTGCACAACAGAGTACCGGGTTGAGGACGGACTGCAGAGGGATATCGAGAGGATGAGAGCCCAGCTTGGAGTCCCACTGGGCCAAAAGATCATGAGAGACCGGCATAGCAGCGCACCACTTTACTGCAGACGTCTACAGTCTCCGTGGATAAACCATTGGCTCTGCGGCGAGCGCGCGTTCGAAGAGCATGGCCTTGCAGCCATTTGTGGAACCAGCACCTCGACCAACGTGTGCTGGAAAGAAGGCCGGAAGAATGCGCCCCATGGGCCATGGACAAGCGCGTACATCCCCATGCTTCTGTCGTGCAAGCTCATGTAGGCGGCGATGAACCATCATCCAACTCTCTGGGCATTCCTTAATGCTTACGACTTCAGCTATGCGGAGTGCCTTCAATCCATGTACGAGTCGACGACTTTCATATTCACTGATATGCGGACAATCGAGATGTTCTTTGGCCACTGCGCCCTCCACTCGGCCATGAAGACGGTAGAAACAGGAGGAACCCCCCCGGCTTTCTTCAAGTATGCCCGGCGCTTGGAGCTGTCGCTCAGTCCGGACTTCCCGGCGCTTCTGATGTGCGCCAACTACGATCTCCCTGGGATCCCGCGCCGCCACGACGTCTACGACTTCCACTGGTTGCGGCTCGACCAGTTTCGAAACTTGCACAGCCTTCACATCTGGATCGCGGCGCGATCGCTCACTTGCGGCATAGAAGCGGACGGCAGCCTCCGCGGCATCAAGGAGTTTGACGCTGACGCGTTGAAGGACGTGCTGGCTTCGTTTGGAACTGTCGGGTCCGTCACGCTGAGTACACCGCTGAGCCAAAGCATAAGTCCTCGAGAGGGCTATGCGAGCGTTGGAGCCGTGCCGGGTGTGCGGCTTTACAAACGGGGCGAGGGGGACAGGTTTCACCCATTCCTGACCCTGATCGAGCTCGGATGCGTTTTCGACGGGCTGATTTATACCAGCACCGCGGAGTAAGTCTAGTTGCTTCGTTCCACATCTTCATATACTCACAGTGTTCACTGTAGGGAGGTTCGGCTTGCATAGTACGATGGCCATCATAGGATAATGAAGGATGTATAACTATGGCTTCTCTCCGGGTATCGCACGGGCGAACGACAACTTGGTTGAAAAGATACACGTAAGAGACATCACCGATGGGGAAGGATGATCACGAATCTTGGGTTCGTTGGCGCAGCTCTTTGGAAAACTGACAACACCCACAGGCAGAGCTATCTGATCCTCGAAAGCGTTTCCAAGTCGGAGTAAGATATCGCGTGTACAAGGGAGTCTTCCATGGTAGCGCTAAGCTGGGCCTTCGCCTTGAAAATCTCAGAATACGACGTCGATGCCCATGTGCAGCAGCTGGAATTCGTGGTTAGGCAAGGTATATATGCATGGGTTTGAGATTCCTCAAGATGAGATACCACGTTTAACTTATGAAGCCCCAAGATGATACGTATGACGGTTCTTGTGGTATCACGATAACGCTGTTCTGTGAATAGTCTGCTTTGAGATAACCAAAAGTTGAGTTCGTATGAATGAAGGGTCCGAAGGGCGTCTAGTTCGCAAAAGTTCACATGCCCAAAATTACTGTTCGGTGACATAGAAGTCGTATCTGAGACAGCCCGCGTCGATGGAGCCACCAGCCCCTCCGTTGTTACCTGCAAAGGCGAGACAGGTCAGTACGAATCACGAAGGTGATCTCACGGTCATATGATTGCAGTGTAAGACTTACAGCTCACGCAGTTGGCCCCCATGATGCTCTCGCAGGTAACGCTATCGTCTGCCTCGATCGGGGAATTGACGTTCTGCTCGTCCACACCATGGGTGGGCAAACAACGTTAAGAATAAGAATCGCGAAAACCCAGATTTGTACGCGATTATCGGTGCAGTCATCGAGTTGATGTACAGAGACGGCCAGAGGTACTCGGTGTCGGCCGGAGGCGAGGTAATGCCCATCTCTTCGTAAACGACGTGGGAACACCTTGCAGGCCTGGACAAGTTGTGGGGCTTGCTAAAATTTGATGAACTCCATTCTACAAAAATTCAATGCAAGATCTTTCTTTGTAGAATGTATAATAGCAAAGAGCTGCAATCTAGTAAAAGACTCTGCCTGCTGAAAAAGAAAAATGTATCTGTCACAAGGTGATATAAGGCGTTAGTTGTGCTGCCTACAATTAACAGCGTTGTTTTTAGCGTAACAGTTATAAGCCTAGTTTACGCTGTGTATCCGTACCTTAATAGTATAGCCCTTAAGCTAGTGTCTGAGCTTTATAGACCCTATAGGTTTAAATCCTGTTAAGGCTAGGGACAGGTCGCAAATACTCCACCTAGATAAGTTAGATAGCAACTACCTAATAGACTTTAGCAAGATGTACCTAATTAGAAGGTTAACAAGAGTTATTATGAGGTAATGCACCTTGGGGTGTGTATAGTGGGTTGTATGATCAATAATATTCTCTATCTATGGCCTGTGATGTGGGTTGACCTATGTACCTAATACTTGTATGCCTGAGGTATACCTTATAGTTGGTGGCCCCCTTTTCTGAAAGAAACGTCCTTGTTTTAGAAAATACTATTTATTAATATTAGTCCTCCTTGTTTTTCTCTTTTTATCCCTTATTTAACTATATTATAATAAATATTAAGGAATCTTTTTTTTTAGTATTTATTATTAAATTATACTTGCCTTAATATTTTTAGTAGCTATATTAATACCTAGTGTAAAGGACTTACTTTATTATTAAATAGTTTAATAGCTAGTTTAACTAAGGTTATAAGCCTTAGGAGCCTATATAATAATATTTTATAATATAGTAAATTATATAGTATATTAGTAATATAGTAGAATATATTTTACTACTTTATAAGTTATATATTTATCTATAATATAATAATATAATACTAAATAAAGTATTATATATTTATTTATAATATAATAATATAATACTAAATAAAGTATTATATATTTATTTATAATATAATAATATTATAATAAATAAAATACTTAAAAAAATATATATATTAAATAAAAATAAAAAGATATAATATAGAGTAATATAGTTACTTCTAAGGTTAAGTAAGACTAATATACTTATTAATAGTAATAAGTAGTAAACTAAATACTTTTATAAAGATAAAGTTAAGTAGTCTTAACTTATAATTATTATTAAGGTATACTTATACTATCTTTAAAAGAATATTATTTATAGTATATCTAGTATACTTAAGTCTACTTATTATAGTAGTAATTAGTGTTAGTCTATATATAAAGAATAATAGTAGCACTAAAATATTCTATATTAAAGTATTACTTAATAGTATAATAGTAAAAGCACTAGTTATTAAGATATTACTTATAAGTATATAAGTAAATATAGTAGTAGTAAGGTCTTATTATAGTACTAGTAAAATTATTTATATTATATTCTTTTATTTAACCTATATACTATTATTACTAATATCCTATAGTGTTATATATTATAATTAAGGCTTCTATAGTATTATATATTATAATTAAGACTTTTATAAAGTTTAGGGAAGTACTACCTATATATCTTACTTTAGTGCCTATAGTTACTACAGTAGTATAGGGCAATAAGCTTAAACCTATGTTATATTAGGTAATAGGCCTAGATATAGAGAAGGACTATTAAGAGTAAAGAGAGGAGAATATAGTAGTTTAAAATCCTTAAATATCTATATAGTATAAAGTGTTACTAAATATATACTTACTAGCTAATTATCTTTAGTAATATTATATATAATTACTACTATTATATATAGTATATCTTTATTATAATTATCCTTAAAAAATTAACGCTAATTATTATAAATCTAAAATATAACTACTTATATATTAGTATAATTAATCTTCTAGTGTAGTAATAACGCTTTCTTAATCTTTTAATAGTTACTATAATTAGTAAAGTTAAGTATAGTTACTAATACTTATTTTTTTAGCTTAATAATAATATTATTTTAGAAGTTTTAGAATTATAAACCCTATATATTAGGTTTCTCTATAGTGTATAATGTAAATTTAATCTAGGTGTTTTAGATCTTTAGGTAATAGCCATTAGTGCCTTTCTTAGTAAAGTATACTACTTAATTAGTTCTTTTTTCTAGTACTATTATATAATATCTCTAGTTATATACTTACTAATCTTAAAAAGAAAGGAGGTTAAAGTTAGATATATAAATACTTATATATAAGTAATATATTATAAGTAAAAAGAAAAAAAAAAGAAAGAAAAGTAAAAAGGATAATTAAGTAAGTAAAGATATATTAGTATAAAAGAAAAAGAAAAGAGAATTAAAAAAATAGAGAAGTAAAGGTATTTAAATAGTAGTTTATTAATACCTTATAATAGTAAAAGCTTTATTATCTTTTTCTCTTTTATTATAATACCTTATTTATAGTAGGCATAAGGGTCTCTTTTATTACTTAATTTTTTAGCTTTTTTTTTAACTACTAGTGTTATTACTAATTATTAATAAAGGATTATAATACTTTATCAACTAGTAACTATATATTATAATATAGTCCTATATATTAGTTAAAAACAAGATATTAGTAGCCTTATATACTATTTTAATCTACCTTAATTTAGTCTAGTATTATTACTAATTCTTTAATATACTTAGGGTTATATATTTCTCTCCTAAATAGGTCCTATATACTAGTAGGTTTAAGATAATTAATAAATATAATAAGGTAAATTTTCTATATCTTTAGAATATTAAGTTAGTATATAGATTAGCTAATATAGTTAATAATTTAAAATAGTCCTATGTACTTTATACTATACTTACGCCTAATAACTACTACCTATAGTATTATATATCCTTAATAAAGTTATATATTAGTTTTCACTAGTTAATTAACAGGGATCCTATATCTTATAATATTACAAAGGGTAGGAAAATATAGTTAATTTATAGTTATTAATAGTTAACTAGTTAATAAAGTAAAGTATAAGCATAAGTGTAGTAGTACCCTTGTGTATAGGCAAAGGTAAAGGATTCTACTAGTAGGCAGTATATTATATAACCTACTACCTCTAGCTATATTACCTATATACTAACACTAGTAACTTTCTTATATAGTAAAAGTTACTAGTGCTCTTATTCCTCCTAAAAAGCCTAAAAATATAATAAAACAAGAAAAGTAAAAGTATTATACTTTTTATAGTTATATACTACTATAAATTTATTTATCTATTTACTTAGTAAAGGTAGGCTTATATTATCTTGTTTAGGTATATTTCTCTTTAGCTATAGCTATTAGAAATATATACCTATATTAAATAGATTTAACTACTATTAATCTATATAGTTTATATAACCTATTTCTTTCTCTAAGTGCCTATTATCCTATATCCTATTATTCTTATTATTTCTTATTATGTTTATATAACTTATCCCTTTATTTATATCTTTGCCTTATTATAAGAGATAAGACTCTTAAGTACTTAGTTTAAGGAGGACTTTATAAACCTATTAGTAAAGTTATTATTACTATAGATTTATTATACCTTAAAAAGCTTATATTACTTATATAATTATTATAGTACTATAATATTAATTATTAAGTACTTCTTATAAATAGTACCTAACTTTACTAGGTACTTATATAGTAAGTATAAGTTAGTATAGGTAATAGTAGAGATTAATAAGTTACTAAGCTTATTTACTACTATTATAATAGTTATAAAAAGAGTATACACTATATTAACGCTTATAACTATACTATAGACTTCTAATATAAAAATACTTTATATTACTTATTTAGATTTAGTTAATAAAAAATAAAAGATATTACTATAAAAAGTAAACTTATTTTACTTATTATTAACCTCTTTATTAGTAAAAAAAATAATAAATCCTAACTATAAAGTTAAGTTATAATTATTAGTAAAAGATCTATTAATAAATATAAATAGCTTTATAGTAAGTAAGTTAAAAGAAATAAAAGTAAAGCTATAGTTAAGTAACTTTATTTACTACTAGATTCTTTAGTTAAGTTACTAAATAGCCTTACTATTAAGTTCTTTATACTAGGCTATAGTAGATAGGTTAAAGTATACTTTAGGCTAGTAAATAAAAGTAATATATATACCTTAAGTATACTACTAAATATAGTCTTACTAGGCTATAGGTAATTTCTTATTAATAAGTCTTAGCTTTACGCCTTAGCCTTTTTAGTAAAGTGTAATAAAGTTATCTTTAGCTAAAGTTAATAAGATAATTCCTTTATTAAATACTAGAGGTTTATTCTCTATAAGTAAAATTTTCTTTTTTATAAGAAGCTTTACCTTAGTAAGCTTATTATCCTTATAGTTAAAGAAATTAATACTAGTTAGGCTAATTATATTATCTATTTATATTTTAATTATTATAAAGTTAAGGTTTTTTATAGATAAAAAGAGTAGGTATAGGTTATATAAAGTAGTAACTATATTAAGCTTTTTATAGTAGTAGTAGTTATAAGTTACTTACTAA